TAAAACTCGTGAACTGCAAACACGAGAGTATCAGCCTGGCTTTGAGACCTGGTCGTGGCTGCATCGACCACATATTCACCATTCGTCAGGTTCTAGAACACAGACATACTTATCGGCGTCCGACAATGGTGGTCTTTCTCGACTTAAAAGCAGCATTTCACTCGGTAGACCGCGAGATTCTGTGGCAGTGTGTCATTGAAAGGCGTATCTCAGAAGTACATAAACCTTATAAAGGCTCTTTACTCGAACACTACCAGTCGAGTCAGAGCTTATGGCGAACTGTCATCTGCTTTTGCAACCTCAAGTGGTGTTCGTCAAGGCTGTCCACTTTCTCCATTTTTGTTTAACTTCGTCATAGATATACTGATGGGAATAACATTCTCGTCGAGCGAATTCTCGGGTATTGATCTCCTTCCAGGAGGTCCACTTATCGACTTAGAATACGCAGATGACATAGTCCTGTTTGATGAAGACGCTGACAAAATGCAGAGTCTTTTAGTAGCACTGAGCAACAATGCCAGGATGTTTGGAATACGCTTCTCTCCCTCTAAATGCAAGCTGCTGCTTCAGGACTGGTCTGCGTCAACACCTGAACTAAGGATAGGGAGTGAAGTAGTCGAACGCGTAGACAACTTAACTTATCTTGGAAGTCTGATCAGCCCCAATGTGTTGGTGTCTGACGAAATCTCAGCACAGATTCAAAAAGCTCGTTTGGCTTTTGTCAACTTACGTCACCTGTGGCGAAGGCGAGATATCCATCTATCAATAAAAGGACGAGTGCACTGCGCGGCAGTCCGTTTTGTTTTACTTTACGGCAGCGAAACATGGCCATTAAGAGTAGAAGGCACTCGTAAGCTACTAGTATTTGACCACAGATGCCTCAGAAATATTGCTGGTGTCTACTGGGATCAACGGGTAAGTAATAGTGAGGTTAGACGCAGGGTATTAGGAAATGATGGCAAATCAGTTGATGAGGTTGTAAATCTTCATCGACTGAGATGGTTGGGCCACGTGTTACGTATGCCCGAACACTGACTACCACGATGTGTAATGCTAACTGTTGTTCGGGATGGTTGGAAGAATGTTAGAAGCGGCCAAACCAAAACGTGGCATCAGTGCTTGAAGTCCCTAACTTCTAGCCTGAGCCATGTTGGGAGATGCAGACTACTTGGTTGTGGTCCGCGTGACTGTCGTAACCAATGGTTGGAGACTCTTGGTGACATGGCTCAGAATCGATCACAATGGCGTCGGTGTATACACTCTCGGTCTTTTCTTAACCTAGGAGATTAAAATAGCTTCATATCTTTCTTTCTACGAACTAATTCTTTCTTCCTGTACTATGTCCTTATTGCAATCTTTGAGCTGGATAGTTTGGTCGTGGAATGTTCACCGTTCTTGTGAACAACATCATCTGCACAAACTTCAAGTACGGGTGAAGTGTTCGAATTTCTCCAAATATGACTCCCAGCTTTTTCCGTAGTCCTCGATCTTGATTGGTTATTATTGATCTTTTGCCTGTCATTAAATTTCTCAGTTTTATTTTATCTCCCATTGATTTGTTTCTTGGTCTCTTGGTCTTCTTATATTTTGGTAATATCAAAAAATGTTTTCTTTTAATTAAAAGTTAACTTATCATATGAAGAGTGTCTACTTTTTGCTTTACTCGGCTTGTACTTGGACGCTTTGTAAATTCTTGTGTAATACTTATTATCCTTTACTGCCCCCTATTATCCTTACCCGTGCTTTTGTGGAAAAATTTTAATGTGTTCCAGAGAATGCTGAAAACAGTTAGTAGGGTGGGCAATGAATCTTTTGATATCGTTGTGAGTATGATTGTGGATAAACGTTTGAAATCCTGCATACAACTAAGAGAGACTTTCTGTGAAATGGCTCAAAATTGTTCTCAATGGCGCAGGTTCATCCAGTCTCTGTCTTCCCCTAGATCCTAAGCTTCTAAATCCCTCATAAGGTTTTTCGTTTCATTAATTTATATGGTCGTGAATCTTATCTTCAACCCCTAAGCTATTGTATTGCTATTTATATCATTACTACCCCTAATACTCTTGGATTCGCTATGGTGTACGCCAACTTGAATTGATGTACATATGTACTAGGTTCTGTTTTGCGTTTGAGTGACTGAAACAGCTAAAAAGTCTTATCATATACCAACCATCAAGATGATTCACACTTTTCTGGATATCTTCCGGTGCAACAAGATGCAAATACACTAGAATTCTTGGGTACAGGCGAAAATGCAAAAGCTCTATATAAGTGTACCTAGCACATCTACTATATGATAAACAAATTGTAAGAGCTGATGTATTCTTGAACATGTATAGATTCTTAATTCTTTACAAAGATGTAATTGAATGTTCTATAATGTTATATATGCATGTCTACTTGTAAAGTATAAAAAAGCACTTGGAAGCTTGTTGAAATATTGTATGCTGATAACTCCGTATTCTTATTACTGAGTAGAAAAATACTAGGTTTTGAAGCTCAACTGTCTTTAAAGCATAGATATTTTATGGCAGCGACATTTATATCTGTCGCATATAGCATGTTTTTGCGTAAAAAGTATATAGTTTCTAACAAGTCACGACCCAAATTAATAAATACGGATATTGATCGTTTTCAGTTAAAACTACGAGAATAAAGTCGAAGAGATTTGTAAGCTCACCATAGTCATATGACAGTGGGAAAATAGAACTTTACTTTCTTCACTAATAGCCAAGTAAAGTACGTTGTAAAAATCTATTATTATCGATAGTTTTACTTTTTATATCTAAATATTCTTCATTCTTGATCTCCAGAGGTGTAAAATTCATACAAATTAATCAACATTACCGAAATTACCTCAGTTGGAGGAAAGATGACAACTTTCAAACCAAGACGCGGCACTTGCTCATGAAGCCATGGATTGTTGGTGTAAACCATGTTTGTAGTTGTAGATTACCTGATCTAAACCACTTTTGTTTCTCTCACCTACCATGTGATCTTGGAATACCAATTGATCTTTTCGGCCTTGAAGCAGCAGCTTACGGATTCATCTTTCCCAGAAAAGGTGGACTCTAAAAATAGAACACCACCTCCTGTCACCGGAGTAAGGCCCTAAAATTTAAGAACTAACGTCAAGAACTCAAAAGTAGGTCACCTGTAAACGGCCCTAAGCAGCTATCCTTTGAATATTGTACTTATGCCCTTAGGTCGTCAAGACAACACATAGTCTCCTTTTCAAGTACCTCATAAAGTGTCCTTCCACAGTTTGGGCACTCAAGAAGTCGAAACCATCCTTATACCTGTCACAATACTAAAGATAATGTCATTCACATGGCGGTGTTTTTGCAAAGGTAAAAGGACGAAAAACGGATATCTGTAACTTTGATTTGTGAATGAATAGGGAGGATTTAGCTAGGATTGTTAGTAAACCTTTATTCAAATAAATAAAGCATATAGACCTCAGGATCCTGAAGAAACATATGGTATTCAAACCCATTTTGAATCTCCTGTTATTGTTCTGCTATCTTGTGGATTAAAACTCTAGGTCAAAGGCCAGGAGGGGCTCTCTAGGAAATCCTCCTGTCCGACTGGGGCTCTCCGGTAGCATTCCAGTCGATACGCAGACATGATAATGATTTTTAGTGGAGAGGATATCCTTCCTCCGATTCAATATACTCCAGATGAGGTTGCTGAAAATATTCGGACCAAACACTTATCGATCCATTGTACCACTGCTTGAACTGTTTTCGCCAAGGTGTGATCATCAGAAATGTCACCCATAGAAATCAAACTGACTAAACTTGTTCGACGCCTCATTTTTCTGGAAAGAAGTACAGAAAACACAGACACAGTGGTTTCATTTAGCTTTTGCTAAAATTGTACCTAATGAATTCCTTGAGTAAATTGTGATGATATTAAATATACATAAATAAGACAAACCAGTTGCTGATGGATAATTGCATCAATTATTGTTAGTAATCAGTTGTTAGAAATGCATCGCAATGGTTTTTATTTATTTGAACACAAATATTGGCACGAAGAAGCACCGGATACATATGCGCCACACAATTCATTTGATTTGTGTGTGGTCTATGTTACTGCCCTGGTGCCCAAACCGAAGCAGGTAGTTTTCTTAGGGGGCCACATCCAGAACCTTCGACCTAAAGGTCTGATCCACAAGGCAGTGGAGCAACATCAGGAGATGCAGTCCCATGGTAGCCAATGACCGATGACTGGTTCATACGCCATTCGTTCCTTCAGGATCCTGTAGCCTATGTGCACCATTGGTTTTGAATCAGGGTTTTCCAACTCCCCTAGGTGAACTCTCCGTGTTCACCAACCCAGTTAACGTGCCGGACTTTCGCTTTTCGTCCTCTCAATTTCTTAAACAATAGTAATGTCACGAGAAGTCATTGAGTGGGACTTCTCCGAAAGTGGTTGTATGCACGTGGCGATGCGCGAGCATTTGGAGAGGGAAAGCCAACTCTTCCTTTATTAATTTGTTATTCTATATTTTTAATCGTTTTAGTATCTTACTACGTCTACACTTATGAAGTATAATAATTTAAACTAATGCATATATGTGTAAAGTTTGTATTCTTTCGTTTTATGTGGAGTAATCTATTTTGTAGCAGAAGTATAGTAAAAAAAAAGTTAAAACTGTTAATCTAAGGTTTTGGTAGAATTATTTGATAGTGACATGTAAGTAATACAGAAACTATTTTACTTAACTAATTTAAAGAGGTTAATATTTACAAAAGCAACAATATTTCATTGGACATTTATGAACTCATTACTGATGTTTGCAAATGTATATAGTAGATGCTAATAAAAGGCAATGAAAAGCGATGTTACTATTGTTTGTTCAGATGATTTGACTAATTGAATCGACATGCGTCTATATAACATTTTTAAACTAAGTTTTATCAATTGATACCTATTCCAAGAATTTTTTAAAATTTTCCCCATCCTTTTACAGTACACTATTTGGATTCAATTAGATGTCAACATCTTCTGGGAGTGGAAGTAGACGTAATCGGTTGAATCTTACACTTCCGAGTTCTGCTATCCAATCATCAGATAATTGTTCTACAACAGATAGAAAATCTGAAGAACATGTCACAAATGCCGAGTTGAATAAATCTTCAGATAGCTTACAAGAATCATTACAAAGGAATGGAACTTCAAAAGCTACATCATTATCAGATAAATTAGATGATAATAATAATCTAACGAATTCATCTCAACCTGTGAAAACATCTCAACAAACTAGTATCTATCGACCAAGTGCTCATCATTCACATCCACATTCTGTGCATCGTAGAATCCCACCACCACTCACAGATCTTCGTTTGTCTCCAAAGAAAACCCATACGCCGTCAAACGATAATGTATTTGGCTCGAGAGGCGATCGAAACAATGAACATCGTTATTCAAATAGGATCAGCACAGGACCTGTTGATGTTGCTGAAGTGTAGGTTCTATGTATATATACTTGTGTTAAATAGTTTTATTTGCACGTCTTTTTGTATTCTGTTGTGTACTTATTTAGTAATAATACACCATAATACCACATAGCTTTCAGTGCATCGTCGAAAGACAAGTACTTCCAGATGAGTTGTAAGAGCTCTATCGAAATGGATTTATAGTCGTTTATTCATTACATATCTAAACACCTGAATTAATAGATCCGTTGCTTGGTGCAGATCGAATTTCTGTAACTGGCACTAGCAAATCTAGGATAGGTCTTATCACATGATATTATTCGTAGTCTTCTATGAACTACAAGGCTATGACTTCCCTTCTTCTCTGTAAGATAATCCTCGAGTGCACAAGGCCTTTCTCTGGATAGAAGGTCCACACTACCACCACTACCTACATCGATCAGAGCTGTTTCCAGAACGTCATCGATAGCGAAGTTGAATAGGAATGGTGAAATTATGCAACCCTGCCTTACTCCACTACTTGAATGAAACAATGAAGAGAGAAGTGGTTTTACGTCGTCATCCTGCCCTGAGGTTTTTGTATGTAAGGCCTTCAAAATGTTGATAAGCTTCCCATGTACAGCCTTCTTCAATAGACAACACAAGAGAATTCCTATTCTACGAGTCGAATTTGACCATAATATCAAGGATCACCACAATTGTTAGCCTGCCCCCAAATGCCCTGGTATGGCCGAGAGTGGGATGGGCCCGCCCTCCCTCTCGAAATGCTCTCACACGGCCACGCGTATACAGCCTCTGCCAGGGAAGTCCTACTCACTGCCTTCTCGTGAGGGGGTGTGCTGTCTACGAAAATGAGAGGACGAAAAGAGAATGTCCGGCGCTTTAACCGGACCCCATTGCCTTGTGGATCAGACTTTTAGGTCAAAGGCTCGATGTGTAGCTCCCTAAGAAAACCACCTGCTTCGGTCTGGGCACTCGTTCAGTATCACAGTCCACACACAAATAAAATGAAAATGACGATATTTATTAAAAATTCTATTCTCGCTTCGATTTACAGTCAAACGATTCACATTCTTCTTCTTATTATTATTCTTATTATTTACTACATCATTTATTCACTCTCTTTTATTCCCACTTTATATATCCTTACTTTTCGAGTTATACAGCAGCTCGCCTATGGTGGAAGCTCGGTTTTATCTAAACGTTCTCGAGTCACTGCCTGGTTGAAAATTGTATGCTACCACCAAATACCAATACTGAAGCAGTTTTTCTAAAACCACATGCACCATTCAAACTGGCTTCCTTCATCGTTCGTACACTTATGCAGGTCAGACAACAGATAGGGCTGGCTATGTCTTTGGAAAGTCTTAATATTGACGTTTGTTGTCTATCCGAGACCCGTATTCAAGACTCTGGTGAAGTACTACAAATTCGATCTCCATCTGTCGATTCAAAAAGCTTGTTTTACGTGCGTTTATCCGGGGACCCTGTGGCATCTTCGTCTGGTCTTGCTGGCGTTGGTGTCACACTAAGCGCTAGAGCTGAGGCAGCACTAATCGATTGGATCTCCATTAACAGTCGGTTATGTGCTGTCAGATTAGAAATTACCATCAAAGTGAGAAGAAATCGGCGTGAGAAACGATGTCTTTACGTCATCTCTGCCTATGCCCCGACAGATTGCAGCCCGGATGCAATCAAGGATGAGTTTTACCACCAGTTATCTGTTCTTCTCCAGAAAGTGCGTTCGACAGATATTGTAGTACTAGCCGGAGACTTGAATGCTCAGGTCTGGCGTCTAGGCACAGAAGAGAGTCGTTTAGGTGGCCGATGGGGACTCGTTGGTCGCAGGTCAGATAACGGGGACCGTCTACTCCAACTGTACACAGACCACAACCTGTTTCTGGCTAGCACTAACTTTCGGCACAGTCATCACCCATGTGTCACCTGGCGTCCTCCCTATGCGTCTCAAGCCTGGACTCAGATTGATCACATCGCGATCAGCTACCGCTGGCGTGGTTGTGTACAAGACTGCCGCTCCTTTTGGAGTACCTATCTGGACTCTGACCATGCCTTGGTCTGCGCCAATCTTGCCTTACTTTTCAGTGGCCAACGAAGTGATCGCCACCAAAGAATTGATGTCAGCAAGTTGGTTGCAACTTCTGTTGCAAGTAAGTATCGAACCGAGCT